CCTCATATTGGTTTGCAGAAACTTAGAGTGTACCAAAACTGTGTTGTGCTTTATTAGTCGAAATCACCAAATTCAGAACCATCAAATTCTGAATTGAACTTTGATTCATGGACCAGGCATTGTTTCATGTTTATATGGTCTAGATCAGTGTTTCTTAAATTGTGGTTCCAAGACACCTGGGAATCCCAAGACCCACTTATGGGTCCATAAAATCAAAATTATTTCCTAGACTATGTTGAAAAACAATATAGTATTAAAATCCTGTCAGGCAATCATCAGGTGTCAATTTTAAACTTTATCGTGGTAAATATAGAAAAATATAACCCATGCAAACAATAGCTCTCTATAGGTCCTCTATAATTTTTAAAAGTAGGAAGGAGTCCTGGGAAAAGCAGGTTTAAATAATGCTGGTCTAAATACAGGCACCTTTTCATTTTTGCATTTATCTGGAAAAATGGATATTATAGAAACATACGTTCAATGGCCCAATTTGCTATCTTTGCCACCTGCTTGTGGTGAATCTGAAATTGTCTACCAAGTTTCATCTTTCATTTAACACATGACAATCATAAGGTTTCTTTTTCTTCATTTTTATCTCACTTTCTTTGGCCTCATTTTCTCTTTCTGTCACTGAATCTGATTCTGATTGGATGCGATGACACACTGCTATGTATGATATGAGAAATTTGTGTTATAAATAAAACAACCTTCCATAATCACAACTAATGGCAACAAGGGCAAATGACATGAAAGAGTGTGAAGGCAAATAATTAAGGAAAGGTGGCAGACGGCATTAATGTCAGGCAGATGCTTTCGGTGGTGAATATTATTCATTGTGGGAATACATTCAGGCAGCTATTTCTAAATGGTTATAATACAAGGGTATGAAGGAAGAGGAAGAGGAGAAGAAGCATTTTTGTAAATTGATTGGAGGGAAAGTCTGCATTGAAGAGTGAGAAGAAGACTGTGTATTCATCAATAGACCTATATAATTTCCAATCCCTACCACCAACCTGTCGGAAGAGGAGAAGCAACCATGAGATTTTCTGAGTTGTCAGTAGCAATGGGTGGAGCAATAATGCAACTATATCACACACATAGATATAATGACATGGGGTTTTTTTCCTGGAATTGTGTGGGGGGGATTTCTTTGATTTTTAGGGCTGTATTATCTCTGTTTTCAGATTTCCACAACAGTTTTGGAGTATTTATCTTTCCCAAAGAATGGGAAATTATTCCTCTGATTTCTGGCAATTAGAAGAGAGCTATTTTGGGAGAAAAAACCATGTTCAGTGATAGTAATTTCTGATATCTTCACTTTGAACAAAAGCTCAGGGAGCAATTACAGTGAAAGGCATCTCAGCCTGAAACCCTGGTTAATTGTTCTAGTTACAGGAAGCAAAACTGGGCAAATATTTGTATTTAATCATTCTCAAATAGTTCTGAATGGCTTACAAAATATATGTGTGAATGTGCCCCTGCATGTCTGCATATATCTATCTACTATTAAAACTCTTGTGTCTGTAACCTTTAACTGGGCAAAATAGTGCATCATAGCATAGGGCAATACTTTTCCCACCAAGGTTCCTCAAATGAATTAAGAGAATGTTGGGACCCATTTCTCCTGTGGGAATGAAAGTTTGGAAAGTTCTTGCCCTTTCATTGCTATAAGGCAATGAGGGAAGTTGCAAGCTTGCAGGTAGAAAGTCAACTGGGATCACAGGATCCCAACTAATGGCAGGAGTGAGACAATTGGCTTTGGGGTAATGAAATATATCCAGAAGGATAACTCAATGGGTCATGGATCATTTAGTAATAGAAAAAGCTCAAATTAAGGTATAAGGCAATGTTACAGATTTAATTAAGTTGTCATTGGTTAATTAAGCATCAACATTCAAACCTTCCTGGAGTTTTTCTACATACACCTCTATCACTTAAACTGCTTCCTGGCCAATTTCTCAAAAAAATATTTCTGATATAGATTTGGAATGTGCAAAATGCTGTTTGGTATGCAAAGTCACCATCTGGAAGTATTTAAACTTCAAAACAAATGTCAACTAAACATATTTTGTACACTCTTAAAGGATCATGCTTGCTTAGATGTTATCTTCATGCTATTGAAATTACCTTTGCTGAAATGGATGCTATATACATTTAATGTAAGTAAGTACATACAGTACGTAAGGACATTTAATGGAAGAAAGCCTTGGATGGAGCCATCATTAGAATTCAAGTATTTTTGGATGGAAATAGCAAAATCAAAAACTATTCATATCTGTTTGCAATATGATTACCAGTGCAACACATATTTGATTCTAAGTGCCTATGGCATCTGTTCACCCATGAAAAGTGATCAAGCCAGAATAATATAACTATAAAAATGCAATCTTATTTTTTTATTATTATGAGGAATTGAAGCTGGGATTGTTGTCTCTGCTTGGGAAAAGCAGCTGTGGCCAGGTAAAAATGTTTCCCACCCAACTTTCCCAAAGCTCAGTAAAGCTTCTGTTGTTTCACAAAGGGCTGTAAAAGTTTACAGCCCAAGAAACCTGAGAGATGGGCTCATGCATGCATTCATTTACTCATAAGCATCCACACTTGCATTCCAGCTGCCTGGCTAAATCAGCCACACCTTGGGATTTCCAAGGACATTCTGGTGTCCAGAAGAAACCATACCCCATCCAGATCCTTAGCTTATAAATGGGGGGCAGGGGTGGAGGGTGTTGTAGGAGAAAAGGAGATAGCAAACAGCTTACAAGTAAGAGCAGAGCTTGGACCCAGACCTGGAGCTTGGCAGCAATTAGAAGAGGAGCAACTATACTGAAAGCATTTTATCTCAAGTAGTGTAAGAACTTTTGGAAAAAGGCAAAGATTGTATGCTGCTTTATGGATCTTGAGAATTTAAACTGAGTATTAAGACTGCATATAAAGGACTGAATATTAAAGACATACCGGTACTTACATGGCAACTTCACCTTGCAAAGCCTAGAACTGACCCAAAGCAATAGGCTGTTGTTGGGGAAGGTATGTGCTGCATAAAGCATTGCGTACAGCTTTGTTATGCTGTGTTATGTCCAGTCCTTAGAAAGCATAGAATCCTCACATTTATGAAAAGATAGTTATTTTTAACAGGGCAACTTAATAGCTTGATAAGTATTCAAAAATATGCATATCCTCCTTTTGGTTGCTTTCTTGTTAGTCCATTGGCAGTTAGCAGCACCTATTAGGTATGTATGTATGCATATATTTGCAATCCAAGCACAAGAATATGTTCCAAATTGATTGATCTGCATAGTGATTTGATGAGATCCTCCCTTTATTGGGCTATATGCATGAAGTGCTGTTTGGGAAGGATTCCTAGCAGGAGAGAGAGGAATGGATCCGAAGACCGTCTCAGAATTCTGCTCATCTGGAACCTCCCCCTCCCCTCCCCCTCCCTTTCCTTGCCTCTTCCCTCCCTCCCCTTGCCTTGCCTTCCATCAGCAACTGCCCTGTGAGAAGAATCCATAAATGGAAAGAGAGGGAGGAAGGCACAGATTATCCTAAAAACATGATTTGTTAGAACTTAGAACCTAAGAATCTCTGTAAAAAGGGGTAAAGAAGAAAAATGAAATCTATCCCATAAACCTGCTCAGTAGGAATCTGCCTTTCCTTCCTCACATTCTGTGTTATGGCTGTTGTATTTTAGTTTTAAATAATAATCATTTTAATTTATTTTTTTACAATGTTTATATTGACTGTAATCTGCTTCAGGAAAATTTTGATCTTAAAAAGCAAGATGGAAATCATTGCAATAAGTAAACAAACAGTTCCAAAATATGTATAATTCTCCATGAAATGATTGAACAAAATCTCTACACTTTCTCAACAACGAACAGTAAATGTAAGGTTTGCAAAAAATAATTATCACAGGAGATGATGTCTTGCTGTCTAAAAAGTCATTAAAAGCATTTTGACATGTTCTTGCTTTTTATGAATGCTTCTGCTCTGCGTGTTACCATCCCACTCTTGAAACATCTTTAACTCCCAGAATTCCAAGAGAGTACAGACACTGGTATTATACTGCTACTAGATTGAGTGTTTGGATTTGTTATTTAATTTGGTGCCCAATAAACTCATTCATACATTAGGGGGACCTTCTTTCACATGGAAGGATCCTGTATCTATTTACTGATGCTGTCAGAAAAGATCTCAAAGTGGACAGTTAGTGCATAAATTCTGACTGCTGATCATATGAGAGCAGAAAAAGACTCAAATATACTAAAAGGATTCCCAATCACTATGGTAACATATGCATTAATTGTACTACAGCTCTGGTCATTTTTCTGATTATTAACTCATTAAATAATGAATTGATTTTTTCTGAGAGAGGAATCCCTTTTTTAATAACTCACACATTTTTGTCACATGGCATCATTTGGGATGATGCACAGCCTTTCTGTGAGAACAACAAAAGGCTGCCTATCATTTGTTTCCCAAAAAATGATATTCTGTTGATTCTGATCTAGTAGCACACCCTTCCTGCTTCTCAGTTAAGTTTACTACAGCTAGAATGGGCTAGCTGTAGTAGAAACTGTTTTTCCTTTCAAAATAGCAAGAATAAGGGTCCCCAACAATATTTAGTGACTAAGTATGCTGTAATATTTGTAAAATTAAGAGCACTAAACTTAAAAGAACATGTGGAAGAAAATTGACCCTAAAATAGAACCAACAAATTATAAATATTCTATTACTTTTAATTCTTGACTGTATCCTACAAAGACCTCTCTCTTTTTGCCACTTTCACTACCTTCTTAGTTGCCATCATTGCATCTGATGATATAATCATATTTTCCCCAGATATTGTATATATTAGCTTCAGTGCTTGAAAATGCAATAGGTCTTCCATATAATCAATAAGCAAAAGAAAGTCACATAAACCATCTCCTACGGGCACATTTATTGTGTTAAAAAGATAATGGCTTTCAAGAAACTTAACCTGCTTTCTTTGTTATTATCAGGATCCAACCCATGTGGTGAGTCCAGTTATTGATATCATCAATTTGGACACCTTTGCTTATGTGGCAGCTTCTTCAGATCTAAGAGGAGGTGAGTATGTAATCAACCATAGACCCATGATAATTTCGACAAGTGTATGAACAAAATGTATAAGAAATGCTGAGTGGTATGGAATTAATAGAGACACTCTGATCATGTATTGTTCACAATATGTTAACTCAGTCCACAGCTTGGATTGTCTAATATGTTTTCCCCAATCCACATAAAAAATAAAACCATATAGTTCCTCAGAACATAATAGGAAGTTATACCTATCAACTAAAGAATAAAGTCTGATGTTATGCCAATGCCAAAATAATATTTTTAAATATGGTACTTGCTCTGAGGTTCGTAGCTACAGGTTCTTGGTTTAGTGAAGTAAACAATGACTTATGAAAGATTTCCAGAATTGTTTTTACCTAAAAAAAAATGGAAGAGCAAACCAGCTTCATATACTAAGATAGTAATTCTTTTAATTGACCAGTAGAGTTTAGTCAAGATTTTCTTTCGCTTTTAATTTTTCTTAGCAAGCCTTTAGTGGATACTTATAAAATCAATGTTAACTTGTGCTAATTCAAGTTCTCTTTAATGTCCATCATCACATCTGTATTGTTATAAATATTTCTTATACCATAGTAGACAACCATGATCATCCTCAACTGAGACAAAGCAGAAATATAAAATGGTCTTATTGTTTTTTAAAAGAAAAATCTAAAATATTTCCTAACAAGTTTTACAGAAAGTGAAAAAAATAAAAGGTACAAAAACATTGAAAAGAAATATATGAATGCCCCATTATGTGGCATTAGGGATTCGAACCGCTGAACTGCTGACCTATCAATCAACAATCTCAGAGTCTTAGCCACTGAGCCAATTAGTGGAGAGACTGCTAAATATCAAAATAGCATTATAACAATGCATTAAAAATTGTTAATTGATGACACACTTGTAATCTTTCCACATGTGACCTCTATCTGCATTCTTGTCAGGTAAATTTAATAGTTTTTATTACTCTGAAAAGTTGCTACCAAACTCCTGGTTGTTATTATTGTATCCTAAATAATGATATTGCTTGAAAGTTCATGATTGCAACTAGTTGACGTCTGTTTCTTAATCTCTTTCTGTGCATTTCATATTTAGGATTTGACTGGAGTCTTCATTTTAAATGGGAACAACTTTCTCTAGAGCAAAAAGCCAAGCGAACAGATCCCACAGAGCCCATCAAGTAAGTGACTAGATTCAAAATAGGAAACTCAAAGCCATCACAAGATTTTTTTGAAGTGGGAAAGGGTCAATTGCATACTGAGGAGAGTGCCAGCTGATTTTTGACCCTAAGCATGCTAAGCTATTGGAAATCTTTTCTGAAACTTCAGTTGAAAGAAGCCTAAATATACGTATTTAACCATTGTTTCATGAGAACATTTTCGATTACCAATACTTTTACTAATTAGAAGCAAAAGAAGCATACAAAACATGATGGGATACATGCAGTTCCTTTTAGACGCACCATAAAAAATTAGCACAGAGCTGACAGCACTATTTCAGCCTTTGAATAGAGTATGGAAGCTTACCTTGACACTTTACCCTCCGGTTCCTCTTTGTTCAGTAGGTAAAGTTCTCAATTAGGTAAGTTCAAGCTCTTTCATATCTCTAGATTCCTCTTCAGACATTCAGCCCATGTGTGCAGAGATATTGGATTCAGAACTCAAGTGCCCTTGACTCCTTTTAGTTCAATGTAAACTCTTATAGTCCTTTGTGTATGTGATAAAAGTCCAGCCATCTAATTGCATCATGGAAATCTCCCACCACTGTGAGCTTTCAGAACTGGGAAATTTTATTTTCCACCAAGAAAACTCCTAAAACTCCTAATTTAGTACAAATAAAATTGAGGCATAGCATCTCTGCATGCAAGCAGCAATCTTAGCAGAAAGGACTAACAAGAACTTTCCCACCCCCCAAGACTTGCTCTTTCAATCAATCAAGAGTGCAAGAAAGCATATTTAGGATTTTTTCAGTAAGAGTACTTGGACAGTGGAACCAATTATTCAGCGAGGTGGTGAGAGTCAACAGCTACAGGCTAGACAGCCATCTATTGGGGAGGCTTTAAATTGGATTCTTCACTGAACAGGGATTTGGATTTGGACTCTGTGCCCCTTTCCAACTCTATAATTCTTGGTGCTTCAGGCAGGCTAATGCCTTTCCAACAAGACTTAACTCTTCATTGACCACAGAATAAAAAACTTCTCTTTTTTGTTGACCATGATTCTAGTAGCTGGAGTGGTAGAATATCTTCTCTCACTTTACAGCATTCTCTTAATTGAAAAATATCCAGGGCAAAAATGCAGACATTATTTTCCTTGCAAATGACTTTACTGTGATTGTTAATCAGTACAGTTTTCTTCCATTTAACAACTACTTGTTCAACAATATGTGAACAAAGATACAACAGCATTGAACAAGTGGCATTTATGACTGGTGCTCATACACATGTTCGTGATCTGAGTGCTTGTAATCGGCTTGCACCTATGACGGTTGCAATGTCGTGCGATCAGTCATGTGATTGCCATTTGTGATCTTCCCTACCAGCTTCCCACAAACAAAGTCAGTGGGGAGGCTGGTAGGGAAGGTGACAAGTTGCTCTGTAAGTTGTTCACACTCAACCCTACCTGGCAACAACCCTAGTTATATTCATGCTGCACCTTGTCAGCCATCTGCACTCCCTTCCCCAACCAGCTGCAGCCATGTTCAGCTGCAGTTATCCCGCACTGTGCCTTGCAGGCTGCCCAAATGCCCTCATGACCCTTTACAACCACCTGCTCACCCTCTCCACCCAGTAGCAGCCCCTTTCTTTCTTTCTTTCTTTCTTTCTTTCTTTCTTTCTTTCTTTCCTTCCTTCCTTCCTTCCTTCCTTCCTTCCTTCCTTCCTTCCTTCCTTCCTGGGCAGTGAACAAATTACTATAAAAACAATTTTAAAAACATACAATGTACAATAATATTATAAAAGGGTAAGAGAGAGCATCAGTTCATAAATAATGGAGCCATCTAATCAAATTAACAGTCCTTTGCAATCCCCAGCCTTTTGACACAACCAAATCTTAAGGGAATTTCAGAAAGTTGGTTAAGAGGGAAGTTAAGAGGGAAAACGATGTTTCACAGGGTTGATGCCATGGCTCATCTCCTGGCTCCCATCAAATATAACTCTGTTACAGATGCAATCCGCAATGTATTTCTTCTGCTAGCCCTGATGTAATCAGGGCAAAGTGATCCCTAAACAGTCCAGCCCCAAGGCATGAAGGGCTTTAAAGATTAAAAGCCGCACCTTGAATTGGACCTGGAAGCAAACTGGTAAAAAATGCAGCCTATGACGCAAAGGTATAACATGTGCTTCTCTAGGGGTACACAACTGCTGCATTATATATCAGCTGAAGCTTCTGGATATTCTTCAAGAGCAGCATTCAACATCACCCATAGCCCATCAGGGAGGAGACTACAGCATAAATGATCATGAGCAGAGTCTCCCAGTCCAGGAAGGGATGCAATTGATGCACAACACTAAATTGTCCAACGGCCCTCCTAGCCAATTCTGTCACCTACTCTTCCAACAGGAGTCACAAGTCCCGGAGGAACCCCAAGTTGCATACTTTGTCTGTTCCAGACAGTGCAACCCAGTCCAATATCAAAGATGGCATAGCCCCAGAATTGGGCAAGCCCCAAACCCAGAATCACTCAGTTGTTTCCATCCAGTTCCCCTCTGGCTCCAGAAACTGGGTAAGACATCAGCTTTTGCCAGGGGTAGAGTCAGTGGTGAAATGTAAAATTTGTTACTACCGGTTCTGTGAGCGTGGCTTGGGGGGGGGGAGTAATGTGACTGGGAGGGCGTGGCCAACTTTTTTTTTCTTACTTTTAAAAGCGTTTTTTCTACAACCTGTTCGGCTGAAGAGGTTGTAAAAAACGCGTCTGATGATCAGGCAACTCAGCTGGGATCATCAGAGGCTTTTAACAGCATTTTTTCTATAACCTCTTCGGCCGAACAGGTTGTAGAAAAAATGCTTTTAAAGCCTCTGACGGTCCCAGCTGAGCCGCGCGATCATCAGAAGGCTTTTTTTTTTTACTTTTAAAAGCATTTTTTTGGCTGAAGAGGTTGTAGAAAAAATGCTTTTAAAAGTAAAAAAAAAAAAAAAGCCTCTGATGATCGTGCGGCTCAGCTGGGCATGGGGGGAGGGGGGGGCGCAGGGATTTTTGCTACTGGTTCTCTGAACCACCCGCCGCCATCGCTACTGGATCGGGTGATCTGGTCCGAACCAGGAGCATTTCACCCCTGGTAGAGATATATAATTGGATATCATCAGTGTACTGATAATACTAACCATATGGTATGAGCTCACCCAATATTTGTATACATGTACACAGACAGAGAGAGAAAATGTCTCTCTCTGAACTTTTCTATTAAATGTCTGAACTTTTCTATTAATCACAGTTTAATCATTAGAATGCTGAAAAGTCCCTTTGAGACAGCAAACCAGGTGACTGGAGAAAGTGGCTGGTGTGGCAGGCATAGAGCACAATTTCCTGTGCATCTCATCTTACTCAGTACTCCTTTTTTTTACCTTTGTTCTCAGTTAATCTAGAGGAAAGTGGGGGGTGAGAAATAATTCTGTTTTGAAATCAAAATTGAGCCAGTTACAAAGGCCTTCCATAAAAGCCCTGCCTTTGTCCTCCTGAATAAGTGTTACTCCCTCATTTAACCTGAGGCTTCTACCAGGATAGGTACAGAGCCCCTGTGAAATAATGTCTTGTAAATAGCCCCCAAGGGCTAAATGCATTTTTAGCTTGTAAACCTATAATCAGGGCTGCAAACTTCAGGCTAGTGGGGGTTGTGTTGATAAATGCATTAGCCACACATTGCACACTGGGGGAAAGTTATGACAGGAAAATACCAAAAGTTTTTGAATCGTTACTTGGACCCATCAATATTTGTATGCAGGTGGAATCTTTTTTGGATCACAGATTGCATTTAGTCAGAGCTAATTTTTTAAGGATCATCATGAATTAATCCATCATGAATTAAACTGAAGCAATGCTTAGGCAAACATCCATCATGAATTAAACTGAAGCAATGCTTAGGCAAAATAGGCACTAACTTCTCATCTACCTCTTAAAAATTCACTTTCATGAAAATCTAAAAATCTACGTAAACTTCAGTTACATTCATACAAATAAAATTCCATATCTTCATAAATAAATTAGGGGGATTATAAATAATGGAGCCATCTAATCAAATTATTATTCCTTTGCAATCCCCTGGCCTTTTGACACAATCAAGTTTTAAGGGAATTTCAGAAGGTTGGGAGAGATATGCAGATTATTAGGGGGCTGGAAGCTGAAATGAAGAAGGGTTGCAGGAATTGGGTATGTCTAGTCTAGTGAAAAGAAGGACTACGAGTGACCTGATAGTTGTGTTCCAATATCTGAGGGGCTGTTACAAAGAAGAGGGGGAGTCAACCTATTTTCCAAAGAACCAGAAGGTAAGACAGGAAGCAGTGGATGAAAACCAATCAAGGACAGAAGCAATCTAGAACTAAGTAGAAATTTCTTGACTGTGAGAACAATTAATCAGTGGAACACCTTGCCTTCAGAGGTTGTGAGTGCTCCATCATTGGAGGTTTTTAAGAAGAGTTTGGACAACATTTATCTGGTATAGGGTCTTCTGCATGACCAGGGGCTGTACTAGAAGATCTCAAACATTCTTCTTAACTCTCTTGTACTGTTATGACCCTTTCTTGCACATGACAGTAAACCCATTTAGACATGTGTTCTGCCTGGGTTGAAACCTTGTGCTAAATTGAAATTTGTTTAATCTCAATTTATTGAAATAAGCCAGTGATTTGGTTAATTAATTAATTAATTAGATCATATGTTATAATACCAAAATCAAGCAAAATACCTTATGGCTTATCATAGCTTGTGATCCATAACATGTTTTGTGAACCTTCTGACACAAACCTACAAAGCTCATTCTCCATTCAGTGGTTGGACTTGGGGAAGCCTCCCACTGCCTTTGATGACAGGTCTCAGACTTGTAGCACCCTGGGCTATAAATGGATAATCCAAAGGAACACATCTTGCAAAGAACTCATAGGAAGAAGTTACAACACTTGAATAGTGACAAATACTCTGTTTCAAAGGGAAAGTATAGCCTAGCAACTTAAGACAACAGAGTTTCAGTTCTTGTTCTTTCATTTTTTTTCCAATATGAAAAGGAGGAGGCTTGCTTCTTCTCCATAAGAAGAGCCATCTGAACCTGTTAATCCTTTGGAATTTTTTTAACAATTTGGAATACTTTTTAACAATCTGAGAAGCAGCTCCCATGCTAGTCTTTTCCAAATCTCAGTGTCATGAGGAGGAGGAATATTTTTTGAGTGAGAATCTAACCTTTTCTTCCTTACTAGCTGTACCACAACAGAAATGCTACAAAACCTTCACGGAGTTTTGCTGGGGATCATGATCTTGCCAACTGGAAATCCTTCAACAGTAACATCTTCTCCCTTCAGTACAATTATCAAGATAATTGCATACTTACATCAAAGAACAAAGTAATATTGATTGGTGTCTGCCTCTGTATCTATTTTACATACCTAATATTTTCTGCAAAAGAGTTGAAATTAGATTTTTTTTCCTTTCCTTCTTTCCCAACCATTTAGGACTCCTATCATTGCTGGGGGACTTTTTGTGATTGACAAGGCCTGGTTCAATCATCTGGGAAAATATGATGCTGCAATGGACATCTGGGGTGGGGAGAATTTTGGTAAGTCACTGCTACTTTGCAGTTATTGATAAATGTTTTTTAAAGATGTAAGGGGGGGGGGGGTTTGCAGACCTGGATATGAGAGCCTGTATAATATAGTGGTTAAGCTTTGGACTGGCAACAGGGAATCCAAGGTTCTACTTTACCTTCTACTCTCATCTGCATAAGCACACTAGGTTTAAGGAATGTAGACTTGGCCTTGGGAATGGGGGACTCAATAGCAGAAGACTTTCAGAAAGGTTACTCAGTCTTGAGATAGAAGAAAGTGTGAGAAAGAAAATCAAAATAGCCCCACTTTGATTTTATTTGGTATAAAATGAGGCAGGAAGAAACTCTGACCAGCTTTTAGATTTTGTTATTCTGCTCAGCAATTATAAAGAGCATCCCTGGAGTTTCTGCTATGTTTGTTTCTTGACTATGCCTACTTCAAAGGGCCAACACAGAGTGACTTGGGTCAGGTATCTATCTCAGCCCAAATCACCTTGTAGGATTATTGTTGTGGGGAAAAATGAGAGGAAGGAGGGCTACTGCTGCTAACTATGCCAGTTTTCACCCTGAAAAGAAAGTAGGACATAAATCTAACCCATAAATATCACTCAAAAATCTCTTCTCTGTCTAATGGAAGGTTTGAATGTTCCTCGTGGATTCTGTGTTCTGCGGTTTTTAGTTCCACTGTTGATGAGATATTTTTGTTTTTAATCCACCATACACATTTGGAAAATTATGTGCCACTCAGAGTGATTGGAGAAGCTTATCAGCCCTGTAGATCAATCAATCAATCAATCAATCAATCAATCCCAGTTATGATTTGCCGGAATTCAAAACGAAAAAACTGTTTTGATATCTTTGTTAAAGTGCTATCAATCCATTCAGAGCTCCATTATTGCCAATTCCTTTGTAATCCATTGACAAAACTGGCTACTCATGTGAAGAAGCAGACAATCTTTTAGGAAGAAGACAGGTGAATGAAAAAAAGTTCGATGCTCCTGGTACTGCACAACAGCAGATGCTGAGACATTTTAAGAGAAAGAAATGGGCCATAACAGAGTTAATTCAAAAGGTCTGGTAGGGGTTTCCCATGGGATGCCTCTAATTAGTGCAGTATATTGTACTAACATGTCACCTGACAGAACTAGCTCTCCTTCTGGGGAGAAAATTTTATTGTGGCCATGGGAGGGCCTGTTACATGGGTGGATTCTTAGCATATGTTGTGTTTTCTGGATGGTTTATGCTCTGACAGCATTTTTTTGTTTGTTTTTAACTCCCTGGTACCCACAGGGAGCACTTCAACATCTAAGTCAATAAAGGGAAGTTAGAAGCAATAAATCTAGGCAAGGGCTTGCCTGGGTGCATCCTGTTCCAAGGGGGTAATATTGCTGCTCTTTTCAATCTGCTCCTTTATTCCGACTTCTGGCTTATAGGAATCAAGCAAGCGTGTCAGCCCACATTGCTCAATCCTTTTGGCGTAGCTCAAAAATGCCAGTTGGTTTCTAAGCTACGTACAAGGTTCTAGCATTAGACTAGTCTTTACAAAGCCCTCAGTGCCTTGGCCCGTTGATGTCTTAAGGACAAATCTTCCATATGTCCTTCCCCATATATTTTAGCCGACAGCTGGGGCATTAACACCAGATCTTTCAGCAGTAAGAAGGCAGGCAGGTAGCTGCTGTGAAAAGCCTTTGTGGGTGGGCTGTACTCAACAGAGCAGAAAAATTTCCATGCACGGATTTCTTAGGTAGTTCACAAAAACATGATTCTTTCAAAAATATTTCATTAAGAATTAATGGTCCTATATTTTATTTTGGCTGTACAGTATCGTAAAGCAGCTTTAGAACTTGTTATTTGTTTGGATTTTAAAGACTATTTTAAATGGACTTGCATTTGCAGCTTGCTTTTGAAATATTGTTTGCTATCCAGAGAACCTTTTAAGCACTAGATCAGCGGTCCCCAACCTTTCTGGCTTGGCGGCCCAGCTGGGGGTGGGGAATAAGGAACCGAGCCACATGAGCAATGGGCCAACACGCATGCAACTTGACTTGTGCGAGTGGTGGGCTGGAAGACACGCACAGCTCAACTCATGAGTTGAGCTACGTGTGCGGGTGCACTGGCCTGCCGTTCACGCAGCCTAGTTATGAATAGGCCATAGCCCAGTAGTGGGCTTTTAAAATAAACAAGCAACCTTTTGCTATTCTGTACCATGTTTCCCTGAAAATAAGACTCTGTCTTATATTTTTTTGAATCCTGAAATAAGCGCTCAGCCTTATTGCCATGCGTTCAAAAGCCCAATTAGGCTTATTATCAGGGGATGTCTTATTTTGGGGGCAACAGGGTATCGTAGAACAGAGGTACATGGCTTGAAGTATAATGACCCAAGTTCCCTAAGTGGGTGCCATATTATAATTGCCAATGTGATAGACTAGGAAAATGATGAGATACATGCCTTAACATTAAGGAAGAACGGCATTTAGGTTTTAAAGTCCAAAATGTGCTTTGAAATGATCATGAGCATGATACCTGTCAGAACATCCATAAAGAATCTGTGTCTTTTTTGGGGCTTACATAGTAGCTGCACTATTTCAGGATATTTGTTGTACTCTATCAATGCTTCCTTAACTCAGACATGCATTTCCCTGAGCTCACAGCACTGCCTTGTGAATTGAGGAAAAGATGCAGCTTCTTTATAAAGGTGCTGAATGATGTAGAGTGCATGCCGCATGCATTCCAGAGCATCCTATCTACTTTGAAATTGCACATCCCTATGTAAGATACGGTATAATCATATTTAACTAAGATTTGTTGTTTGCTTATAACTCAAGAAAGAAATACACCAATGATTGTAGATAAAACATAAAACTAAATAAACTTAGATAAATATTGGTATGGTATCACCAGCAAGAAAAGTCAAGTGGGAGTGACTGGACAGCAAGTTCCAGTATCCTCTCTCAATCCCAGCAAGTGCAAAATAAAAAGGCCTTGCCGTCTTCTAACTTCTGAACTGTGATTTCAACTCCAATAGAGGAAGAAGAAAATAGCAGAAAGTTATGAATCATACCATTACATTAGTCCTGTTTTGATCAAAGGCAAACTTGAGATGTAATAGGAAAAGATCAGCCTGGATCAGGTCATGGCCATTTTAGTCTAGTCCAACCAGCTGCTGCTTACTACATCTAGTTTTGCCTGTACTCCATGGTGGTGCTAATATATAGTCACCATGCCTAGCAGCCATTAATGGGTTTTGGATAACACAAAAAGTGGTACTAGCAACTAGGGATCTTGGATTGGCCATATGGCAAATTTGTTTTGCCTCTGTTCCCTAAGAAATTCCCAGATTGTTGAACGGGAAAGGTAGTGACATTGGCTGCTGTTGTGCCTGCCTAGAAGGGTTGATCAAATTGTGTGGGTTTTATTGCTGCTTTTATTTGTGGCTGCAACAATGCTACAGAGCAGAGGAAGCTAACAGTGCTACAGCTTTGAAAAAGGAAGGGAGACATGGAAATAGCAGAGAAACAGATCTTAAGCTGGCACTAATACTTTGACACCTCAAGGGAGTGTGGTTAAGTAAGGAAAAATAATCCTTGTCTTCAGAGATGCAACAGCTTAGTGAACCAGTGAAACAGATGCTCCTGTTCTGTGGCAATCTCATCCATTGTCTCCCTCTCCCCTTGAAGCTTTGCACATGAGTGTGTCATTATACAGTACATTTTCTTTCTTAATAAGTAGGGATTGTATATACAAATAGTTGTGGGCCATGCTGCTTCTTGCTGAATTGTCCTTTTCCACTGAAATTTCCTCTCACCAAAGTAATCAAGGTCATATAATCAAGCAGTCCCAAAAATATCAGTGCTAAAATGGCTTTGTGTGTTTGTGTAATGGAATTGGCCCAATAGCTAGCCTGAAAAAGAAAAATGAAAGTTTGCTGGAGTCATGCAGGAAGGACATGCATTCAGATAACAGGCTTGGGGAACAACGCAAAGCAATGATTGTATTTTATGATTATGATCATGATTTATCACTTGTTGCTTGCCTGCACAATGAGACCTTATGCAATGGAGACAAATTCCTTGTGTGTTCAATCACCTATTCTGTTCTGTTCTGTTCTGTCCTATCCTATCCTATCCTATCCTATCCTATCCTATCCTATCCTATCCTGCAAATCTGAAAAGGTAAAATATACCCCTTTTTTGAAAAAAATAACAACAGAAGACAATCTTCTGCTGAAGGCTTCTGTAAATTTAAAGCAAAAACTTATAATAAGAGAATTCAAGTTTGCTATCTGAATAGGACAGAAAAAAATATCGACAATTTTCAGCTTTGGTATTGGAGAGGATTGAGAAAGGTAGAAGTTAAAAAAAAAGGATGACCATCAGTTAGATATCTGGACTCAGTGATTTTGGCAATAGTCACGCTGTTGGAAGATCTGAAGGACCAACTTAGGGACAGATCAGCCTGGAGAAGGATTGTCTAGTTGCTAAAAATCAGCACCAACTCAATGGCATATAATCAATCAGTCAATCAATAAAAAGTTCCCCTTCAGTTTTAATAACTATACTAATATAGCCTGTATCCTAATTTGCAGAGGATGCATCTTCTCTTTAAAGTGATTCTCTATTTGAAACTGTACTATACAAGCCACAAGCAGTTAAAGATAAGGAATATAAAAAGGTAAAGCAGCTATTACATTATGCTGCTCCATAATTGGTACTGGGATGACAGGTTGAGAAGACATGAAGATTATTTAGTCACAGTCATTATTATTATATTTATTATTTTTTCAATTTGTCTTCCCACCATGATGAGATGCATAGTATTTCTATTCAAATAAAAATACTTGTGATTGGCATTTAGTGTATAGAGAGGTATTTTCTCTTCTGGGCTTTGTCAACAGCCAGGCAGGCAACACTAAGACAGATTTTTAACCTGCAGCAAAATTTGAAACCTCATAGATTTCACAATGGGGAAGTACCTTTTGAAACAGAGCCAGACTCTGACTTAGCTGTTAAGCATGGGCTATTTAGGTGAAACAGCTTTATTTCCATAATGTCATTGTGTACTTTGATACATCTCAATGGGTCTTCTTACTGCTTTAACCAAAAACTGGTTACATCCTTATGGCAATTGACTTCACACTGGGGGAAAGAATTGGATGGGCTGGTCTGCCTCTAGTTTGTGTAAGTTTCTTATTTGTAAATTCTGACCTGATGTCCAATCTTCATGAGCAAAATTATTTTGTTAGAATTCCTCCTTCTGTCCTTGGCAAAAGTAAGCAGGATTTGATACTTTGGCATCTTTTTATTGGCATTTCCACACACACACACACACCCCTAGATCTCGTTGTGACAATTATATTCATTTTGCCCCCTTGCCTGATTTTCTTTTTTTCCCCAACTTGCTAGTAAAATCAGGATGTTGGCTTTCATTGGGGGGGCGTGTTACTTGGAACCCTAACACACGATTTGCCATGAAGGGCATGGTTTCTGTATTACGCAAGGTCCCAACAATTACAAGAATTAGAAAATAGCCTGTTCCTCTTGAAAAGTAAACTAAGGGGCCTACTTATAAACTCACTCTGGATATCATCATTTTTCAGTGTTATATGGAGAGTTCAGATGATAAATGTCAGGCCGGCAGTAAAGAGCTTTGAAGAGCACTTAAGACAGCAGAATGCCCAGAAAGGTACTCACTGACAATAATGGGTTTGCACCAGGGGTGGAATCCAGCAGGTTCTCACAGGTTCTGGAGAACCGGTAGCGGAAATTTTGAGATGTTCGGAGAACTGGCAAATACCACCTCTGGCTGGCCCCAGAATGGGGAGGGAATGGAGATTTTGCAGTATCCTTCCCCTGCCATGCCCACCAAGCCACGCCAAGCCATGCCCATAGAACATGTAGTAAAAAAATTTGGATTTCACCACTGGTTTGCACAGTTTGATGTGAGAAAGGGAAAATCCCATCTGATCCTGGACTTTAAAAAAACTGAAGTTGAGCCTGTCTTTCATAGAGATCTCTTTCCGAGTGTGGATGTGCGGCGGGAGCTTGGAAATCATCCCCTGCAGTCGGGTTGGCCATGTCTTCCGGAAGAAGCATCCTTACATCTTCCCAGAAGGAAATGCCAACACTTATATAAAGTAGGTTTGGGTGGGTTTCTTCCTTTTCCCATATTTCTCACTGAAAGTGAAATAAATTCTACAGAAGGTCACATGTCCCAAGCTCACAACTCATTGTGGTATGTGTAAAAGTGTGGGTTTAATGCTATACAGGTAGTCCTTGACTTACAACAGTTCATTTAGTGACCATTCAAAGTTACGTCACTGAGAAAAGTTACTTAGAACTGCTTTTCATACTTATGACCAGAGGTGGGTTTCAGCAGATTCTGACCAGTTCTGGAGAACTGGTAGCAGAAATTTTGAGTAGTTCAGAGAACCGGTAGTAAAAATTCTGACTAGCCCCGCCCTATCTATTCTCTGCCTCCCAAGTCCCAGCTGATGGGGAGGAAATGGGGATTTTGCAGTAACCTTCCCCTGCAGGTTACTGTAAAATCTCCATTTTACAGTATCCTTCCCCTGGAGTGGAGTGGGAATGGAGATTTTACAGTACCCTTCTCCTGCCACACCCACCAAGCCACGCCATGCCCACCAAGCCACACCCACAGAACTGGTAGTAAAAAATTTGAAACCCACCACTGCTTATGACCTATGCAGCATCCCCGTGGTCACATGATCAAAGCTCAGTCATTTGGCAATTGACTCACAGTTATGACCGTTACAGTGTCCTTGGTCATGCGATCACATTTTGCGACCTTCTGACAAGCAAAATCAATGGGGAAACCAGATTCACTTAACAACCATGTAACTAACTTAATAACTGCAGTGATTCACTTAACAACAATGGCAAGAAAAGTTACAAAATGGGGCAAAATTCACTTCACAACTGTCTCACTTAGCAACAGAAATTTTGGGCTCACTCATAAGTTGAGGACTATCTGTAGTTTAACTAGCACATCAGGAAGAATGAAGAATTGCAAAATAGATTGTAGGGAAACAGCGGAAGTTCAAAAGAGGAGAACTCCTGAGGAGAATAGAACAGGAGTGTCGATGCTACTTTCTTAATATGAAAATTGTCCCTCAGCGAGGCTTCAAAACATGGCTACTTGTGAGTACAGTCGATGTGCTCAGCATTTGGAGGAATCTAATTTTTAAAATATTTGCTAAGAATGCCAGTGAAATTATGTTTTTACATTATATACATGATCATGATAGCTGTTCTTAGGTCAGTCTAAGTCAGTGTTTCTCAACCTTGGAAGCTTGAAGATGGGTGGACTTCAACTCCCAGAATCCCCCAGCCAGCGCTGCTGGCTGGGGGGTCTAAGTGATACCTTAAAAGTGAGATGTAGGCAGACTCTCCCAAGGGATTCCCTCCCTTCATAGAATATCTGAATTTATTTAATGTCATGGTGCTCAATGGACATGTGCTATATTTTCTAATCATGCCTGCTTTGATTTATGCTAAAGAGGTTGAAACTACACACATGCCATGCACTGCTATTAACATCAGGCCTAATATAACCTCACTGCTATTGACATCAGGCCTAATATAACTTTTTTAAAAAAAATTCCCATTGCTCATCACCTAATTCAACTATTCAAGGGCACTGAGTAGAGTCACAGGGGATAGTTGCTGAGTTGGTTCTCCACTCGGATTACCGGAAAATCTGTCACTGTGTTTAAAAAGAGCTCCACATATTCAGGCATGTGCGTGTAAAATAATATCTGCAGCAGTGCAAGCTGCGATAAGAAAATGCATATGCAAAAGCAGCATCACTGTGCTCCCTAAACACGTTAATTTCCCTTTGGAACCTTGTGGGGCAGAACAATATTGGTTGTTTTGGTGTTATTCAAAAATATTAAAACGGCGCATGAATATTTAGACATAATAGAAATACCATCTCCAGGTCGTATGGACATTCCAGGACATTTGTGCAAAGTATAGTTGTGAACTTTCTTGTTTGTTTCTGTAGATGGAACAAATATATCGCATACATGTTGAATAGTGACATTCCATTGCTACAGTGGAGCTACAGATGCGTATTGGATTATTCTTCTCTTTTTTTTTTAGAAGTCACACTACTCAGCAAGTTCTCTGATCAGCTTCACAGTTTAGGATTGCAAGTCTGCTTATGGATAGTTAATCAAAGCAGTAGAGCAGATGAAAAGAAATTGCAAAGGGAAGAGGGAATGTAGCCTACTTGAATAGACCTTGATCAAACTTTAAATGAATAAGGTAAACCTTGGAGAACAAGAGGGGTGGGAGAAACAAACAGGAGACAGAATGAATAATGAATTCATCCCAGTGAAGATCTAGGAGCCCCAATTATTGGATTCCATATATGTCTTCATATATCTCTATCAGCTGCTAGACGTCAATTCAAGTATGTCAAGGTTGTTCTTCAGAGGAACAATACCTATGCTTCTGAGTGCCATATTCATACATCATTCACTAATCTTTTTGCAAAGCAACACTGTAGATATTGGGCTATTCTTAAAGAACAGGAAGAGAGATTGACAGAAACCCACCAATTATATTCATTTGTCAATGTATGCATTGAAAAACCTACCTTTTTTGCAATGCTGGAGTGTATGGAATGAGAATATGTATTCTGTTGTTTGTTTATTACACCGCTTTCTGCCACAATCTGGAGATTCCTTTTCTAGGCCTGTGCAAGACATGAAAATTATCTAGCCAATATACTGAACAAACTGTAATAAAAAAAAGTGAATTAGTGTTACCTTCTGCTTATAAAATGCAAAATACAGTCTTCCTGTATTATATTGCACTACAGCTTTCTATCAGGCCTTTATATGGAAGACTTCTACTAAGTCATCAATCTTAGAAATACATATAGTTACTTTAATGAGTGCCATTAAAGTAGAGGTGTCAAGTTTACATTTCTACACATCTGAAAGAATTTGTTCTAAATCAGATCTAAATCATTGTACAGCCCTTTAATAAGTACCAGTAAAACAATCTTTTTCTATCAGTTTAAATGAGCCCATTTCTTTCTAATGAATCTAGTTTTCTGGTATTTTTTTTACAGTTATCTATATGAAAATAAATTATATAACTAAACTGAGGATTTTTCAATTAAATAAGCCATGAAGTTATGATGCACTGCCTTTGTATGAATCTTAATTTGCAATCTGATAAACCTGGATTCAGAACCAAATAAATATTGCAAAGGTACATGTAATATTTTTGGCACTCTGATGCCTTAATGTAGCTTGTTATGGATATTTCAGGCTTGTAATTCATCACATCTGTACATTCTGCTTTAGGTATGTTCTTAGGACAGTATTTACTCAATGTACCTACAGACATCCTGTTTGCTAAGTTTTCACTTTTCCTTTATTACAACTGGAGAAACAGCTAGGAAGGTGCAAGAAATCTAACTTGCCATTTCTGAATGGTAGGCCTCAACTTACAACAGTTCATTTAGTGACTGTTCAAAGTTACAATGCCACTGAAAAAAAATGACTTATGACCATTTTTCATAGTTACAATCTTTGTAGCATCCCCATGATCATGTGATCAAAATTCAGATGCTTGGCAACTGGTTCATGCTTATGACTGTTGCTGTGTCCCAAGGTATGTGATCACCTTTTGCAACTTTCTGACAAGAAAAGTCAATGGGGAAGTAAGATTCAGTTAATAACTGTGCCATAAAGGTCGCAAAATGGGGCAAAACTCACTTAACAAATGTCTCACTTAACAACAGAAATTTTATGCTCAGTTGTGGTCGAAAGTCAAGGACTACCTGTATTTGGACATGGGTTACTATAGTTTCCAGTTTACACATAATGGAAGCTACAATTAATTACTGTTTCTGGTTGGTTGTGGGGCAAATGTGTTCATAATGTACCTCTGAGAAAATATAATACGTGAAACAGTCTTTAAGAACTGAATTCTGTCACTGGTCTTTTTTTTTTTTTTTTCACTTAGATCTCTCATGAAAATGAACTGCTGTTTTCCTTCTTCCTTATTCTTGCTGTTTTTTAAATGAGAAGCATTAAATTTAAACTCTTTCATGCAAGCTTTTCTTGTTGTTCCTCCTTTCTTTTTAAAATGTCTTTCCTTAGAAACACCAAGCGCACGGCGGAAGTGTGGATGGATGAATATAAGCAATACTATTACGCAGCCCGGCCTGCAGCTCAAGGGAGACCATATGGAGAGTAAGTGGCCCCCTCTGGCAGTGAAGGAAAACGGAAAGAGACTCAATTGCTTGATACGGTAGAACCTCATTATTGTTTTATTGGAGCATCGTCCAGCTGTTGGGATGTGTGCTTTTTGTTTTTCTGGGAACAGTTAATTAGATGTTAATAGTAAACAGATGCTGCAAGGATATAAGTATAAAGTCCTAGTTGTTATTTGTGGAGATGTGACGGGGAATGAGAGCTGATATAAAAGCCCATTTGAAATATCGGTTTGTTCATGAATGAAAATAAATGGGTTCATCTTCTCCTCATTTCTCATGTTTGAAATTGTCTCAGATAAATTCCAAGGTGATTTCTCCTTTTCATAGCTGTCCGGTTGGTCCAGGAGAATCAGCTATCCTTACTAATGAGTTAGCCCTGTGAATAAACACTACTCCAGAACAGAAGAAAATAAACAAACACTTCCTCCTGCAAAAAAAAAAAAAGTGTGAACCCATACAATATATGACCGTGATGGCAAACCTATGGCACGTGTGCCACAGGTGGCATGCAGTGCCCTCTCTATGGGCACGTGAGCCCTTGCCCCAGTTCAGCTCCGCCATGCATATTCACGTGCCTCCCGCTGCCCAGCTGGTCATTGGGGCTCTGTCGCGCATGCGCAGAGGGCGGGGGGCACACGTGCATGCGTAGGGACAGGGCGAGTGCAGGGGGCCGTGTGTATATTGCATTTTGGGAGTTTGGGTGCGCACATGCGCATTCGCATGCACACGCACTTTGGGCACTTGGTCCGGAAAAGATTAGCCATCACTGATATATGATATATGAGCCAGACAATCTGAATCCTTGTTTCCATATTTGCCCCCAAAGCAGCACTGAGTTACATTTTAACATTGGCTCAGAATTGGTGAGGAAATTTATTCCATTTTCACCTGCCCTTCCCCCCTCCCTTTCTTTTTCTTTTCTTTTCCTTGTTCCTTTATCCAGTGCTTTAGGTTGTTTTATAACTGTATAATCTGCTCAGGTGATGGGAAGGTGCAGGTCATCTGTATATCTTCTTCATGCTACTGCCTAATGTTCTGGGACCTTTGTTCTGTGTCAGATGAAATCTTTCCTATCACTTGTAACAATGCATTATACATTGTAATTACTTCAGTTCAGCTAGCTATGCACATATCTCTGATCAAGCAGTTAGCAACAGCACCAGTGATATATCTGGAGAAAAAGAACAGTGAAGATTCCCTGGAGTGGAGCTTAAATGTAGACAGGGATGCATCATTTTCTTGGCATCCGTACAAAACTAGTGTTTGCTTTCTTTCAGGGTTTTTTTTTTGTGCCAATCTATAGTCTATCGCCCTAGGATTTCCTCTAGGCATCCTGCCTAAGTATTAGGACTGACTTTGCTTAGCTTTTTTGAGATCAACCAAGGTCAGCTAAGTGTTTCCATCTGCTCTGATTATATATTAAAGGGGAAAGTTACATCCAACGCATCACTTTCTTTGCCAGAAATCTTTTGTTTTTGTAGTTTTGCTTATTTTCTTTATGTCATCTAAATTTGGGGAGTGGACTTTGAGCAATGTGTATAGCATTCATTAGATATATGATTCTCATTCAAGTTAATATATATGTGCACAAAAATGCCTTCCTGTTATATATAACACAGTTAGATGCATGCAGCACTGCTATCTTAGAGACAATTGCCAAGACCAAAAACATTTGTGGGGATTTTATCATACCATAAAATGAATAAATTAATCCATTTCCCTGTGGTTCCAGTCCAGACTCATAACTGTTTTAGTAATAAAAATATATAATCCTATGTCCATGTCTACTTCAATTTCATCTACTCAATCATCCTAGCCATATACGTAAGCCCAGATTTAATCAAAAATTGTTTCTTTCTACTTGGAGCCAATCTAACCTTACTGTATAAGATATTTCACAGTTGGAGTACAACTGGTGAAATCCTATTTACAAGTGCAGGAATGCAAAATTTCATGTATTGGTAATATAGTAGAAAGGGCCTCCTCAGAAGAACTTGGATCATACAGTCGTTTTCAAATCAGATTGTGCCAGAATGAGGAAAATATTTTCTATTGTTCTATCCTGTGATCTCCCAGTCCTTGAAATTTTACTTGTAGCTGATAACCCAATCCTGGGAAATAACTAAGAGAAGAATGAGATATGGTTTTTTTTGTGTGTGTGTGTGTTTTTTTACATAGTGTCCCTCATAGGGACAGAAGTTGATATGAGCTATAGAATTAACAGAAAGTTAATAGCATTCGGAGATGGATTCAAGATGGCAAAAGAAAAAAAAGGCTAACAAATAAATAAAAAATTAATCAGAGAGCTAAAAAAACCTCATATCTTCAGAGAGGAGGACAGCCAGCAAGGTTTATGTACATCTAGCACAGATATTCAGAGGAAAAACAAACCAAAAAGACCAAAAGTAAGATCAACTGTACACTAATTGCTGGGAGTTGCTAGCTGAGTTTAATTAACGTCCTTGATTAACTCTTTTGGAAATTCAGTACAGTTACCTGTTAAAGTAAGCACAGCACCATTTTAGCAGTACTACTACTGTCAGAGAGTTAGTTAATTTTCTGAACTGTAAAGCAGTTAGGTCATAAAATAATTTACTACATTTCTTTGAGAAAAGAAATGGAGAAGTTGAAGCTTTCTGTGCATTAGTTGAATCCATTTGCATAAATATCTAGCTAGAAGAGTCAATATATTTCTATCCTTTTAATGCTAAGAATAAAAATTAGAATGACATACAAGAAAAGACCTTGCATGCTGTATTTTGCCTTATTAATCTTTCATGACACAGACTCTAGGACTACATTAATTGCATTTTAGCATTATTTTAAGGTTGATTATTTCTTTTACTTTATGTGTTAGTATTAGACATACAGTATTGCATTTGTTAATTCTGCTATGCCAGGATTTGTTTTAACTGCATTACTGAGCAAACCAGTACATCCTGATTCATGCATAACACTAAGCCATAAATTGGTGATAGAAACCACAATGGCCACAATGGTCACACAACATTTTAACTTAACACAAAATGGTTGTTCAGTGCAATGTGTGATTACCATTAGAAATAACTATAAGAGAGGGGGGAGGGGTGGCTTCTACATTATTCTTCTGTTTTGTGATTCCATTCATTTATAATGGAATCTAATTTTTTTCTGACCCATTAAAACTTGACTCCCATTCAAGAAGTCACCAGATGCACTGCCATAACTATATTTTCCAATATGCTCTTTTTAACAGCATTCAAAGCAGAGTGGAACTGAGAAAGACCTTGAAATGTCACACATTCAAGTGGTATTTGGAAAATGTCTATCCGGAGCTTAGGTACTACTAGTTTTTTTTTTTTAAAAAAAATATGTTTAGTATCTGTTACTTGTTACATGAATGAATTATTACAAACTTCATTTTATTTTTCAGCTAGTATGAATAGACTGTCCTTCCAGATGGTTCAATGTAAATTCCCATCATTCCTCATTTTAGCTAGGTTAGCTAGGGATTAAATGAATTGGAGTACAACAACTGGAAAACAACCATGTACTCATTCTTGCCTTGCAGGATGACTTTAAGTCTGACCCACTATGCACATTTTTAGAAGTAAGTTTTACAGGTAATCCTCAACTTACAACCATTCATTTAGTGACTGTTCAAAGTTATAAGGGCACTGGAAAAAGTGACTTATGATCATTTTTCACACTTACGACCATTTTAGCATCCCCATGGTCACATGATCAAAAGTCAGATGTTTGGCAACTGGCTCATATTTATGATTAATTGCAGTATCTCAGGGTCATGTGATCCCTTTTTGCAACCTTCTGACAAGCAAAATCAATGGGGAAGCCAGATTCACTTAATAACTGTGTTAGTAACTTAACAATTGTGGTGATTCACTTAACAACAGTGGCAAGAAAAGTCTTAAAACAGGGCAAAACTGATTTAACAAATGTTTCACTTAGCAACAGAAATGTTAGGTTCAATTATGGTTGTAAGTTAAGGACAATCTGTGTTGATTATTGCTGTATTATATTTTTTTTCTTCTTTTCAGAATTAATCATTATGCATTTATTTATTTAAACTAATTTAACTAATTTTAACTAGTTAGGGTTTTTTACTAGTTTGTAAACTAGTACAAATGTGCATTGTGAACACGTACTCATTATTATTTTTTACTAATTTAACTAAAAAAACCCATTCCTGATAGGGCTTAAAATGTCAGCACTGATACAATTATTCAGGCTTATCAGGCTTATTCAGGGTTCCGCTGTGAGAGGGCAGGCCGGAGGTCGCCCCCATTGGAGGAGATAATTAGGACCCTCCTGCTGTTGTGGGAGGACAGTTGAGATACCAACAGCACATCGATGAACAAATGGCTGTGTTACATCTTTTGCGAAGTCCCCTGTCTGAGCTTTGGGCCTCCATCGCTGCATTTTGGAGATGTATACGACTGCAGATCTTCTTGCGCTGCGAGATTCCCCCTTCTCGCAGATGTGGCCCTCCTCACTATCGAGGGCCCACCTCAAGGAAGGGTTTTGGGACCCAGAGAGGTGGCATGTGAAAACTAGGGGATTGAGGGGTTTTCTATCGAAATTTTTAGTCAAATTTTTAAGGGGTCCCAGGGAGGGGGAGGGTCAGATTGGAATTCGGGCTGTGGGTATGGGGGATAACCCACAAGAGGGAGGGTCGGGTCTGGCAGTGAAGCGCGGCGTGGGGGGTGGGGGACCCGGGATCGAGGGGGGGTTAGAGCTTGTCCGGATGGTTTTTTGAACATCAGTACTGTAGGTGGGAGGGGTAGATATGGCGGGAGCAGGGGGCCATATCGTGTTAGGGGAGTGTGCACTCGCTGTCTACGAGCGGTGGCATGCTCCGGCCCCCAAGGCTCTACTCGCTCCTCAGGTTGCGTAGACCCTCAGGACCCAGGCTTCGGCTGATGCTGTGCAATGCCAGGTCCGTAGTAAATAAAGCCCCCCTCATCTGTGATCTTGTTCAGGAGGGGGGTGCGGACCTGGCAGGTGTTACGGAGACCTAGTTGGGCCAGGAGGGGGGGTTCCCCTCGTTGAAATGTGCCCGCCAGGTTTCCAAGCATTCCATCAGCCGAGGTCACAGGGGAGAGGGGGGGGGGGGGGGTAGTGGTTATCATTAAAGAAGGTCTGAGACCGAGGGAGGCCACTGTTCCTCAGACGGCCAGCTGTGAATCCCTTTTTGTGAAATGGGGTCATGGGGTTCAGATGGGTTTGCTGATCACGTACCTGGCTCCCTGCCACGTGGCAACAGCCCTGCCCGAGCTACTCAACGTCATCGCCGCGGTGGCGGTTGATACCCCTAGGCTTATGGTCATGGGGGATTTCAACCTGCCGTCCCTGGGTGAGATGTCGGAGATGGCTCGGGAGTTCATGGCTTCCATGACAGCTATGGACCTGACCCAGTTAATTCATGGCCCTACCCACACAGGGGGAAACACGCTGGATCTGGTTTTTGTCTCTGGACAGTGGTTGAGGGATCTTGAGATAGGGGATATAGTTACTGAACCCTTGTCATGGTCAGATCACTCTCTCCTTCGTCTCGACTTTCGAACCGCTGCACCCCACCGCAGGGAGCCGGAGCCGGTAAGATGGTTCCGCCCCAGGCGCCTGATGGAACCTGACAGATTCCAGACGGAGCTTGGGCCATTTCCTGAGGTTCTGGCACACGCCTCGACTGGAGACCTGGTGGCCGCCTGGGATAGGGCGGCTGCTGGAGCTCTGGATCGGGTCGTGCCTTTGCGGCCTCTGACCCGGCGCCGATCTCAATTGGCTCCTTGGTTTACCGAGGAGCTGAGGGAGTTGAAGTGCCGGAAAAGACGCCTAGAGAGTAGTTGGAGGGCCAGTCTTTCTGAATCTGACCGGACACTAGTAAGATCCCACATTAGGAATTACTTAGTGGCGATAAAAGCAGCGAAATGTAGCTATTTTGCTGCTCTTATTGCATCATCAGATAATCGCCCGGCCGCCCTCTTTAGGGTGACCCACTCCCTGCTCCACCAGGAAGCGCAGGAGGACCCCTTGGAGGGTAGAGCCGAGGATTTTGTTCAGTATCTGTATGACAAAATCACTCAGATTCGGGAAGATTTGGACTCCGACTGGGTAGTCTCAAGGGGAGAGATAGGGGCAGGTCTATCTGGGATGAGTTTGATCCTGTGACCCCTGAAGACGTGGACAGGATTCTGGGTAGACTGAATGCGACCACTTGTTTATTGGACCCGTGTCCTTCCTGGTTAGTACTGGCTTCCCGGGAAGTGACACGAGGCTGGCTCCAGGGGATTATAAACGCTTTGCTGGGTGAGGGTGACTTTCCCGCCGCCTTGAAAGAGGCGGTGGTGAGGCCTCTCCTCAAGAAGCCTTCCCTGGACCCGGCAATGTTGGTAAATTATCGTCCGGTCTCCAACCTTCGCTTCGTGGCGAAGGTTGTTGAGAGTGTGATCGCGCAACAGCTCCCCCAGCACCTGGATGAAACGACGTATCTGGATCCGTTCCAGTCGGGGTTCAGGCCCGGGTACAGCACGGAAACGGCATTGGTCGCATTGGTTGATGATCTCTGGAGGGCTCGGGACAGGGGGTGCTCCTCTGTCCTGGTCCTGTTAGATCTCTCAGCGGCTTTTGATACCATCGACCATGGTATCATGCTGCACCGGTTGGAAGAGTTAGGGGTGGGAGGCACTGTGTTGCGGTGGTTCTCCTCCTTTCTCTCTGACCGGTCGCAGTCTGTGTTGACAGGGGGACAGAGGTCGACCCCGAGGCCCCTCATATGTGGGGTGCCGCAAGGGTCGGTCCTCTCGCCTCTCCTGTTCAACATTTATGTGAAGCCGCTGGGCGAGATCATCCGTGGTTTCGGGGTGGAGTACCATCAGTACGCTAACGACACCCAGCTGTACGTCTCCACCCCGGATCACCCCAACGATGCCCTTGAAGTGATGTCCCAGTGCCTGGAGGCCGTATGGATCTGGATGGGGAGGAACAGGCTCAGGCTCAACCCATCCAAGACCGAGTGGCTGTGGTTTCCGACGTCTCGATATAGTCAGTTGACGCCATCACTGACTATTGGGGGTGAATCATTGGCCCCCACGGAGAGGGCTCGCAACTTGGGCGTCCTCCTGGATTCACGGCTGTCTTTAGAAGAGCACTTGACGGCCGTGACCGGGAGGATTTTTCATCAGGTTCGTCTGATTCGCCAGTTGCGTCCCTTTCTGGATCGGGACTCGTTACGCACGGTCACTCATGCCCTTGTCACCTCCCGCCTGGACTATTGCAACGCTCTCTACATGGGGCTCCCCTTGAGGAGCACCCGGAGGCTCCAACTGGCGCAGAGTGCGGCTGCACGGGTGGTAATGGGAGCGACATGGCGTTCCCATGTAACACCCCTCCTGCACGAGCTGCACTGGCTCCCGGTGGTCTTCCGAGTGCACTTCAAGGTTTTGGTTACCACCTTTAAAGCGCTCCATGGCTTAGGACCTGGGTACTTGCGGGACCGCCTACTACCACCAATAGCCTCCCACCGGCCGGTACGCTCCCATAGAGAGGGGCTCCTCCAGGTGCCGTCAGCCAAACAATGCCGACTGGCGGCCCCCAGGGGGAGAGCCTTCTCTGTGGGGGCACCTACTATCTGGAACAAGCTCCCCCCAGAGATACGGAGGATCCCGGATCTGCGCACCTTCCGCCGCGCTTTAAAGACCTTACTATTTCACCAGGCTGGCCTGGCCTAATTTTCCCCCTCTTTTATCTTTTAGTATTTTATACATTCAATTTTAAATTGGTTTTAAAAGTTTGGGGTTTTAAATTTGTCGGGGCCAAAATTATTTAATTTGATTTTATTCTACTTTTAAATTTTGTATGTATGTGTTTTATTGTTTGGCTGTGCACCGCCCTGAGTCCTTCGGGAATAGAGCGGTATAGAAATCAAATCAAAATAAATAAATAAATAAATAAAATTATCACTTCATTGTTTTTTTAGTCTAAAACTCTAACCTTTTATATGTCAAAATACTTTTCTAAAAGTTTCCCAAGTTTGAAATCATTAGTTGACATATTTTTGAAAAACCATTGTTTCTAGCAGAATCACATTTTTATCCTGTCTCTCCTCTAAAGAGTCCATTGCATGTGTTGATAGTAAACAGCATAATGGAATAAAAAACAAATTAAATGGAATATTCCCCCCATGAAGTTTCATAATGATAATTATTAGGGGATGTTGGTTTATTTTAAAATATTTTATGCCAATTTTTGATCAAATTGTAGCAAGAGGAACAGAAAAGGACATTGATATCAGTTTTCTTTAGATCAAATTCAGCAGTCATTTGCTTTACTGCATTGGCTCTTTTATATTGTCAGCAACTATAGTTGCCTGCTAGAGATGAAAACTGATAGCCCTTATTCTGGGTCTTACTTCTAAAATCAATGATGCACTCTATTCATCTTAGACATGCAGAATGGATATCGTTAATTATTTAATATATTGTTAATCTTTAGGCTTTATCTATTTTCTTAGAATTCCTGAGGAATCACTGTACCAGACAGGAATGATTCGGCAGAGACAGAGATGTCTGGAGACCCAGAAAAATGAAGGACAGGAGTTTCCAATGGTGATCTTAAACCCCTGCATCACCAGCAAAGGTGCAGCAGCAGCTGCACAGGTAATTTCTCTAAAATGTAGCAGGTTGAGAAGGAACATAAAGCTTCATTCATAGGGTTTACAATTACCCTTATCTGAACTATGATATTGTGGAGGTGGCTAAAACTCTTATTTGCTGATGGTAAACTATAAAACTAAGGCTGGAAAGGCGATTAAAGCAGGATGCTCAATTAACAAAACCCACTTGTGGGTATTTTTTTTAACAAAGGCACTCAAGAAAAAAATAGCATTAAAAGTTCTAAAACATCAATGATAATGATACACAATATCAAAGAAGAGACATCAGCAAAACGATGGCATAAACAAATTGGATTTTTTTTCATTGCCTAAGTAGTGATGGAATGCAAATAGCAGTGTCACTACAAAAAAAGAAAACTTTGTCCCATGAGCCTAACATGTAATGAAGAGCTCCATGATATATATGTTGGATAAGAATGTACATCTTTGAAACCCAATATGACCAGGGTGCACTATACTAGCGCCCTTTGTTATAAGTTCTAGTTTTCAGAAGAGTTATAAACAAGGCTTCCAAAAGCCAATTTTATTGATAGCAGCAAAAAAAAATATTGTATTTCGACTACAACTTCCAAACTTCCCAGCCAGACTATCCCAACACATTTCGAGGGGGCCAAACTAGGGAAAACAAAAAGGCATTGAAAAAATAGGAAGTATATATATTTGATGAAATATCTTAAGACACCTATATAAGCTTGTATATTTTTAAAAGTCTTCTCTTTGCTAACCCTCCTTGCTCACAGAACTCTTGTGCTTATAAGCTTGTCATTGAGCTGCTAATTATTTATAAGCAGAGAGCTGTTTACCTTGGATAATGTTTAGATAATCTTGTTTTAATTGCTTTTTGGAATAGTGCATTTGTTTTCTTTGATTCAGATTAGAAGAATTGATGTGAGTTGATTTCCTACTTGGTAGCTAAATTATAAAATATGTATGTATAAAGGATTCTTCCACAAGATATGTCTGTAAGCTGTCAGATCCCCGACAAATATTCCATTGCGAGTATTTTTGTGGAATGTAACATTATCATCTGCAGATCACTTTGTGTGCAAAGAAGTTGCCTTGTGATTAAGTCTCCCCATGAAGCCAGGGATATTATTTACTAATCTGTTAGTTTTCAAAATCAAACATCTACATTAGCAGTTTTGCTTGGGGTGCATAGAATCTTGAATTCCGTAGCTGTAAGGGATCGCAGCCTTTCCAGCAGAAATACCCTATATTATTTGACACTTAGAGTTGTATTCTACTTTTCTTCCAAGAGCTCAAAGTTCAGTACATAACATCGACATCCCACCCTCTCCATGGCCTGTTTGAAACTGGGTTGTGCGAGCGATGGGCAAGCGCGTGCACAAAGCTCCACTCATTCGAGTGGAGGGTGCTTGAGCGGAGAATGCTTGTGCTCATGTGCAAAGCTCCACTTGGAGCTTTGTGTGCTAGTGACCTCCATTCCTGTGCAAAGCGAAGGGCGTGTGTGCCCGCTGCTCACACCAATGGAGCCATACGTGCATGGATGCACCTGCCACTCATACACCCCCTCCCCGGTGCTGGGTGGGCCACCAAGATGGAAAGGCTAGGGACAGCTGAGGTAAATTGTCCTCATTGGCACTTATTGACCTAAATCACCCTTCGTAAACTTCCATAGTTGATGGACTTGAAGCTAAATCTCCTTAGTCCTCTGCCAGCACTTTAACCCCTTACTCCAAACTAGCTATCTCTTACTGTATATGATTCATAAATCTCAACAGGAGCTCATCCCAGACCCATTTGTAATAAAAACACCCAAGCTATTTTGACCCATAATTCTTCTTCACAAATAAGAGAGAAATGAAAAGAGAGTTATAAATTCCTCCCATCTTTCAGACCTATTTACTCTTTTTCCTATTTCTAAAAAAAGAGGACTGAATTGAAGCAATATGTGAAGTTCATACTCTGCATTCCTTCAATATTAAATTGCCTATTAAAATAAAAGGAGCTTAATGAAGCTTACCTCATTCTCCCCCAATCAGCAAAAGGAAAATATGCAGTGTCAATCAAAGAGTATTCTTTGGAGCAGATTAACAATTAGGTGCCACTTACAACCACAGGAACATCCAAAAGTATGCTCTATTTTCCCCTGGCCTCCACCCATACTAAAATTATATTTTTATGTAAGAATACAGGTAGTTCTCCACCTACAGCAGTTCATTTAGTGACTGTTCAAAGTTACAACATCACTGAAAAAAAGTGACTTATGACCATTTTTCACATTTACAACCGTTGCAGCATCTCCATGGTCACATGATTTATATTCAGATGTTTGACAACTGACTCACTTTAATGATGGTTGCAGTGTCCCTGCGACCTTTTGACAAGCAAAGTCAATGGGGAAGCTGGATTCACTTAACAACCCTGTTACTAGCTTAACAAATGCAGTGATTCACTTAAGAACTGTGGCAAGAAAGGACATAAAATGGGGCAAAATTCACTTAAGAGCTGTCTCACTTAGCAACATAAATTTGGGCTCCATTGTGGTCGTAAATCGAGGACTGCCTATACTGAATATGTACTTCAACTTTAGCAAAAATAAAGACTCACAGCTATTCGTGAAAACACCTTCATTGTGAAATTTCAACAGTTCAGAAAAGGAATTATTTATTGATTTATATATATAGGAATATGACAGACAATAGGTTTCTTTCCCCTGTATTTTGTCTGGGTGGTCCAGGTGATCCTGTTGCAGTCACTGAAGAATTAAATGTGAAGTTCTGATGAGCTCTGTTCATCTCAGTACAATACAATATTTTCAGTATAAAACGTTTACTAGTTCATTTTTTAAAACGGTTTTCAATATAGAAATAACTGGAGGCTCTCCATAGTATTAGGAAATATGTTTCAGACACACACTCAAATTAATGGTGGGGAGAAATATTACACATTAGAGCTTTTTCTGCCAGTAGTACCCATCATTAAACAAAGACCCATAAGAACATATTTCTGATTTATGGGAAGGAGCCCCTGGCTTTAATGAATGTCCAGGAGGAAGAAAATTCCACATAAAGCAGAAAGCCAATGAAATTTTTTCATATGCTGTTATTCAGACTAAAATACTGATGGTACTACTTAGTTTGCTGTGGTCAGGGTTTGCAGGATCATGAGGAAAAAACCATACATGTTGCTCCAGCACTTTAGCCTTTATCGCCCTTGTTCTTTTAGGGCCATTAGCCAGTCATTAACCTAATAAATAAATAATGATAGCTTGTACAGCAGGGATCTTACTCTTTATGGTGACTCTTTTAAAATCACAGGGTGTTTTAAGTTTTTATTACTTCCCTCCAAGCAGTTTCCAGTATTTAATAATTAAAGTATCTGCAAAAATGACTTTGTAGGAAATATTTTCTAATGCCAAGGGATAGAATATGGTGTGTAGATCCTCAGAATCCTTTCTGGGAAGAGTCGTGTCCTTGAAAAACCTGCTGTTCTCTATAGGTACCAACTCAGAAAATAAGGCAGCCTTATTTTCTTATTTTCAAGCTTGAATTACAACTCTCAAGACTCTTACATCAGGCTGTGTACTTTACATGGAAAGGTACATGGAAATCCAGCTGACATGTTTATATATTTTCTCATTTCCAAAACTCTTTAAAAACAGACCTGGTGAAGCACTCCCCCAAAGGATAGGTCAGCATTGTATTGTTGCTTGCAATCTCCTGAAACAATTTAGAACGAGAAGAAAGAGACAGACAGTTAAAGTTTTCAGTTTACCTCCAAGAATAGAAGTGAATTGTATCTGAGAAAAATGTACATGCATCTCTTGTTCTACTATGGCCAGGTTTCATAACCAAGCACTTTCCAGATGTGTTGAAACTGTAATTATCCAAAACTCAGCCCACAAAGGTTATAATAGCTACTAATTATGGGAGTTACAGTCCCAACAGATCTGAAAGTGTCAAATTGGGGGTGGCTATCCAGAGAGAGAGAGAGAGGCTAGTGAAATTTGATGTATTCAGTGTTTGCCTACCTATGAATATTTATGTTTTCATTTTTCTAATCCATGCATTATTTGAATTAAATGATTTAAAATATTACAACAACCACAGAACAGTAAAGAAAGGTTTAAAAAGTATAGCAGAGGAAATAGTAGAGGAGAAAAAGGAAAATCAAAACATTAAAGCTTGCCGAGTAAAAAAAAATGGTGTGAAAGCAGGAGAGCTCTCCTGCTGTGTTATTGCTGCCTCAGCATGTAGCTAACCTAAGAGACAAACAGGATCTGATGTCTTTTCGGATTCATCTGAGCCAGTGGCTTTATTGTGTGTTTGAGTATTTCTTATTTATTATTTGTGAAGAATTTTCACCCCTTTTGCTCAGAGTCCCCTAACAATTCCTTTCTCTGGCTACCTCCAGTTCTCATTCTGAAAAAATGCTCCAATAATACATCATGAAATAAGGATCAATCATGTTCCTCACAGTCATTTTTTTTCCACTGAGCAAATAATTGCCTCCAAGCATCTGCAGAAAGTGGTTCACAATCTCTTCTTCCATAGGATTGCAGACTCCTGGGACTGAGCACACTGTTTGGCATTCTTTGGCCTTGTTTATGTCTCATTTGTGAAAGGCAATTGATTGATTTAGCAGTTTGCCAGAGAGATGCATTGAAGGGTAAATAATTGATCATAATTTTGCCCTGCTTTTGTCTAATGAAGATGTCACTCTTCGGCTGATGCACTGGCTTTCCATTAGAGCACAGCATCAGCTGATATTAAAGTTTGCAGTAACCTTCTTGCAACAGATTTCTGAATCTGGGATTCATTTTATAAACCCATTAATCATTAGCAGTTCCCAAAAACCTGACAAGCTATAGAAAAGGAATGAGAAGCCTGTTAGGCCTGGATACACTTCAACACGCTGGTGGCAGCAGCAATGAAATGATTCTATAAGGTCTCGGAGAAAAGCTGTCATTGCATAAGCCAGCAGGACTGCAGTCTCTAATTATTATTATTATTATTGTTG